GTTCGCTTGACTTCTTACCTTGGTTATTGGGGAACGAAAAATAAAGCCACAATAACCAATGTTCGCTTGATTTCTTACCTTGGTTATTGGGGAACGAAAAATGAAGCCATAATAACCATGGTTCGTTTGTCTTCTGACCTTGGTTATTGGGGATTGAGAAATGAAGCCATAATAACCATGGTTCGTTTGTCTTCTTACCTTGGTTATTAGGGAACGAAAAATGAAGCTATAATAACCAAGGTTCGTTTGTCTTCTTACCTTGGTTATTGGGGAACGAAAAATGAAGTCATAATAACCGAATGCGTTTCTCACACTAGCTTCATTCTCGGGGCGGATCTATGGTTATGGGCATAAAACACTCTATTTTGGAATATTACTTCTTATTACTTTCAAAAATTGAAGCAAAACTCAAAGGAAAGCAGATCCACATAAGATTATTAAACATACCTTAAAGTGTCTACAAGAAGTTCTGCGTCTTTGACTGTGTCGAGCAGCCTGAATAGCTTCTTTTGGTCGAACTGGGGACGCAAAGACGTAAAAGAAAATTAAATCTGTTCATCGCTGACTTTCAGTAATTAAAGCAAAAAATCAAAAAGGAAAACAAAACCATAACATTATTAAACGTACCTTAAAGTGTCTGTAGAATTTCTCAGCAGCGTCTCTGACTGTGGCGATCAGCTACTACTAGTAACTTCCTTTGTCAAACAATGCACGTGATTGAAGTGAAAGTGTTTGCCTTATTAGGAACTTGCTACTGATCCACCGCTCATCCTGCTTTTCCAAGAAATTTAGTAGTAGAGGGTCAAAAGCCGTCGTCTCATCAATAAAGCTGTGTCACATGATCTAAAGGAAACGATCAATGCCTTTTTGACATAACATCTCTATCTTCCTTCCCTTCTTTTCTCTTCGCAGCTACATCTGAGACAAGACTGCAAATTCTCATGAGCTTTTCATGACGGTTATTCATCTATAACGCTGCGATCTTTAAACTGAAAAATGTTAAAATAATTGGTTTTATTTGAGGATTAGGTACTTCCTACAACATAAATTGCTTAATATTTGCCATTCACAATCTGGTGATACAGTTACATCTTTACTGTTGGTTTTCCCTTAAAAGTAGAAGTAAAACAGAACATCGGATTACCAAACGTACCTTAAGGTGTTTACAAAAAGTTCAGCTTCTTTGAATGGGAAGAGTAGCTGCTAATGTCTTTTGTTCGAACTGTGGACTCAAGCTATGCCCTACTGTAGGAGTGGAATTGCTATCGATTCCGTCAGCGCTGGTTCTGCTTTTTCTAGTAAATGAGGCCTCAGAGTCTCTTAAGGAGATGCTCAAAGATAGATTGTATAAATTCGTGTGGCAAGTCCTATTCTGTATTGACGTAAAGATTCATAATATTATATGGCTGACCTGAAGGCGATTGCAGTTTGTTCGTTTCCCTTTCCCTTTGGGTCCGCTAGGCTATGCGTTTTACTCAGAAATGGCTAACTCAGAAATGACGTATTTTGTATCCTTCGTAAAGCATTCATGTATTTTTAAATTAAGGTTGGAAAACGGGTAAAAATGGATCAAATCTCGTTTTTTCTCTGCTTTTCACTTTCTTTAAGTTGTCTTCTTCATCCTTTCTTCCCTCTTATCCTTCCTTTCCCCTCATTTCACTCTTTTGATTTCTACATAAATAACAAAAATCATTGAGCTTGAGTTTTCGATTTTATTTATTTTATTTTATCGCCAAACCCTCGAAAAATGATGTTACAATAATTGTACTTTTTATTGGAATTAAAAACCTACTACAAATCGTTAAAATGCTTGTTATTATATATATTTTACTCTCCTGGTGTCGCGTCATCATTACTTTTGGCTTAACCTTGTTATCTATCGATACTATCAATGTTATTAATATGGTAAGAAAGCTACTCGAGCTTTTAATATGCACTATTAATTATATAGGATAAATATAAGCTAATACAATACTCTATTGACACTCCTCATTGGGTTTATTCATTAACTATTATAATACAAGATATAAAGATTAAACTATAAAACATCTCTTATACCTAATCCCAAGAACGTTGTCCCATAAAAGTTAACTAGAAATTAAAAACTAATAAGGAATTAATCAGATTATTTTTTTTTCAATTTTGATTTTAAAGTTCCCATGACTGTTTTGGTATTAATACCCAAAAGGTAATATCAAATAAAATGCAAACGGCTAAAATACTGATATTATACTAATACCAAGTAATCTATTAAAGTATTATTCAGCTGAAACATCAATATACAATAATCTAATAACTAATTACACATTATGTAGTTAAAAATTAGACAATTTCAAAAGATTTTATCTTGATTTATATCCAAAGTTAACCCAATCTTACTTAACCTAATACTTGCAACAAAATATTAGTTTTAAATTATGGAATCCATATTAAATCTCATGGAATTAGTCACGTTTCTGCTAAATATGTGTCCCTTACAGTGGATCAGTTGGTATTAGCGATAGCTTACTCAGCTGAAATACATTGTTCAGGGGCGGATCGTGAAATTTAGAAGAGGGGGGGGGGGGGGGTTTGACTATTACAAAGGTTTTACCAGGAATTCTAAGAAGAGGGGGGTGACTGGACATTACTAACGATATACTGTGCAATTTGAGCTAAAGGAGGGTGGCTAGTCACTATTACCATCCTCGCATTCATAACTCATTCTCGTCGTTTTGAGTTTTTGTGTAACTCTTTCCATCCCCAAAATTTTGTCGTCCCAGAACTCCTTATCAATGTCTTCCCTATTTTTTCTTGCTTGCGAGTTAGCCTCTTTCAAACATTTTTTCTTTTCTTCTTCATCAAGATCGAAAAACTCACTCACGTCTAGAAATGTTTTCCATTCTACATCTCTTCCAAGCAATTGAAGTTTCACCCCAGGTTCTCTATATTCATTTAGATCCTTTAGCCCTTTAATGTTTGCGCATGCATCATCCCGGTTGTTTCTTCCATGTACATGTGTGTTATAAAAGTTTGCAAATGTAATGGTCATTTTTATTTTATCTCCCATATCTCCTTTATATTTCAGTATTTTTCTAGCACACTTGTAACAGGGTGAGTAGTTCATGTAAACCTTAATAATAATTTCCCTGGCCTCTAATGCGTTTCCAAGCCATCGAAGGTATTTAATGAGCTTTACTTCTGCATGATCATTACTATCATTCTTGTAGATCTGATGAGATACCCATGTTTTGCCATCTTTATCAGTACAGATGATCTTGCATGCAGCTATTGTCTCATGAGGCCAACCAGCACCTGACTCTTTATACATCGCAGTTACAAGGAAACTGTTACAAATATCATTCTTATTTATTAGATCTTGCGTCATTTTAAACGAGATTCTTGGCTAGTTTGGAGTTGTAGTGAATATCTGTTGAGTAGAAAATATCGAATAATTTATACTTGCTCAGAAAGGTTTTACCAAATCATGAATATATAGAAGATCCTGACAAATATATATTAACTAAATAGTACTAAATATATTCAACGTGCTTGTTAATTCACAGTTTAACTGTGTTTGGAGACTTGATGAGGAGAAGTTACACTCTATGACCAAAAAAGCAAAATACTTTTAGAAATAGCTTAACATAAAGCAAATTTAAGTCCGTATATTTTTTAATGATCATATCAAAAATTTTATCTAATTTTTTAGTCTAAAGAAAAAATCTAAATCTAACTATAAACTTTCATTGACTGAGTTTCTTCGCGTCAATGATTTTTGAATGTTAAGCAGGATCAAACCCCGTGTATGATAGCAGTGAGGAACAGAAATATAGGTCGAAAAGGTAAAAGATGAATTTATATAGCGCCATTTCCAAGAACTCAATGGCGCTTTACAAGATCAGTGGAGGACTTTACGGGCTGCATATTAAGCCACTAGTAGCAGCCGTGCAGCTTACAATCATCAGTGATTTGTTAGTATGTTAGTATTATGCCTCCATATAGGGAAAGGAATAACTCGAATAATTGAACAGGTTCTTCCACGTCCCCCATTTTACTGTTAGGAAGTGTTGGGCCGGGAGACAGGGCCTACGGTTTTAAAGTCCTTATCCGAGAAGACTTGAAGGTCTAACCATTGAAGATATTATTACAAAGGCAGCACCTTCTCCTCAGTTATTTTAAGACCCTGAGTGTTGGTCCGGCCGACCTCCCGCACGACTTCCCGCACAACAGACCGACGCTCTTACCAATTGAGCTACCTAGTGGCGGTTAAAAACAACAAACTTTCAAGTTTTTTGAAAAAAATTTTTTTTATCAATAGTGCTTTCGAAACCGTCAACGAAATACTCGTTTTCAAACTCCTGATAGCTAAATTAAATACTATAACGACTTTGACCAAATATTTTCTTTCTGGTTTGCTAGACACATAGAGATTATAGATAAGTGACAAGAGAGAAAAAATAGGCGTATTCTCTTCTTACCTCTCGCTTGCGGTCTTGCCGAAAAGCTTTCTTGATAAGAATGAAATAATTTATTCAGATGATTCGGCATTTATTGACTCTGAGCAACAATGAATCATTTTCTAACGAGCCCAAACGATCGATCAAAATAGGAAAGCTAGCGTCCCTAGTTTGAACAAAGAACGTTAGCAGCTGCTCCTCCGACGCCTTAGTCAGAGACGCTGAACTTCTTGTAAACACTTTAAGCACAATCGATCGATCAAAATAGGAAAGCTAGCTTCCCTAATTTGAACAAAGAACGTTAGCAGCTGCTGCTCCGACGCTACAGTCAAGGACGCTGAATTTCTTGTAAACACTTTTAAGGTACGTTTGCATGGTAATCTTAAAAAAGGCGTCCTTATATCCTTATATACGTGTTTTTCGATATAAGTTTGATGTTGATATCTTTCTTTATCGAATATTCTTCCGGGTAGTTTTAAAACGACCAATCAAATTAGGAAAGCTAATGTTCCTAGTTTGAACAAAGACCGTTAGCAGCGGCTGCTCCGACGCCACAGTCAAAGACGCTGAACTTCTTGTAAACACTTTAAGGCACGTTTGGTAATCTTAAAAAGGCGTCCAAACTTTTCTTTTTTTTATTGAAACAGCTGCTCGGTTTAAGGAGTTTTKGTTTGTAAAAGTTTGAAGTTTTTCAGTGATTATAGTTGTGGCATGTCAATGTTGGGAAATCCTTTTAAAAAAATAAAAATGACGAATCTTTTGCTAAATTCATGCAACATGGCGGCTGTGAATACCATCAATGAARATGTTTTGGGGGTTGAATTGAACTAATATGGCGGGCAGGAAAAAGAGACTTGTAAATCCACGTTGAGCTGTAAAATAATTTATTCATATTGTTTGATATTTCAATCCTTCGAGACTCTTAATTTATTCCAAAACTTTAAAATTACCGTATAGTAAGCATAAGGCTTGGCAGTTACTTTAGTGCCACAGTTTGTTTCTTCCTGATATTTCAGCTGTTGTTTCACTGTTAGAATTTTTATCCTACGAATCAATCATTCTCTAAAGTTTTTTCTCATTTATGCCACAGTTTTTAGTCCATGCTTTTTCAGCTGTTGTTTCACTGTTAGAATTTTTATCCTACGAATCAATCATTCTCTTAAGTTTTTTCTCATTTGTGCCACAGTTTTTTTCAGCATCAAATATTTCATCCAGTCTCTCATAAAACTTCGGCTCCAAATCAAGATATAGTCGTGCACAGACCACACAATTCCATGGAGGATAATCCGTTATTCTATATTTTGATTTCCAAGCAAAATATTTCACGTATTCATCATTATTCTTGTCTAAAAAGACCAGATAGTTTGCTAAGTCTTTAACAGATTTGAAGTCCATAACATTGATAAAAGAACCTGGAATAGCTGTTCGTTCATCATAATGACCACCTCCCATCACAACTGGCACAATCCCTTTCTTGATTCCATCCCAATATTTCTCAGTTATATAATCCACACAGTTAGAGTTCTCAAACGCTAATTGGAATTTATATCTTTTTAAAATGTTTTCGCATTCTTTTGAACCTTGAGGACAGTCGCCAACATCTTTGGCCCCGACAGTTGAACGACATGCCCCAAAAACATCAACACTGATATATCCCAAGAGTTTTTTAACATATTCATCGCGCAATAGACCGCAGTTACTTGCTGTCCAAAAAGCTAGTCTATCTTTTCCTTTAAGGTACTCATTGGCAGGCATCGTAGGAATGGTAGAAGACTTAAAGTAATAAGTATACGGTCGATAAATATCGGAGTCCTTTCGATAATTCATAGTCCAATTAAACATGTCGAATAGGCGTACTGCACTAGGGTTATGCATCGGGCTTTCCATTGCAAAATATATCCATCTTTGTTTCGGATCTTTTTTTTCTAGAATGTACCTCATCGTATCCAAAGGTGGCATGTCACGTGCATGGAATATGAGAGCATCGCTTCGTTGTCTGTCTCTTCTATTGAATGTCAATTCACAGGTAAAATAGGGGCATTGAATGCCTTCCCAATGATTAAACTCATAGGAATTTTTCATCCAGCCCCAAGGTTTGTTTCCAAAATACGTAGTATAACCCAAAACCACCTTCTTGGGTTTTGAAGAAAAATTCCCCTCTCTGGAGGACGTGTTTTCAATCTTCTGTGTCCTATTCATTCCATAATACTGTCTCATTTGGTCAATAATGTACTGTAGGTGAATGACACGATCTCTTGTGAAATTATGATAAAGTTTGTGCTCCAGGGCACGACTTCTTGCAAAAGAAGAATTCTTTATTTTTGATTTTAATACCCCAAGAATGCTTTTCTCGTTGAAGTAAGTATCGTAGATGACCATGAGTATGAAGAGCGAGATCGCTATGACAACTGCGACGGATTTGGTGCCTGACATTATGGATGGCGACCGCTGGATATAATGGAAAAATGCTGCAAAAATAAGGTTTGAAATTGTTGTTAGCGCTAGAAGCTCACCAATGAAAGTATCACTGTCAATTTAAACCTTTATTAACCACAGAGAGAGAGAGAGAGAGAGAGAGAGAGAGAGAGAGAGAGAGAGAGAGAGAGAGCAGAGCAGAGCAGAGCAGAGCAGAGCAGAGCAGAGCAGAGCAGAGCAGAACAACGCAGAGAATCGGAATAGTTTGATCAAATAATTGGAAACAATGCGTAAAACATAAATGGCCTTATTTGTAAATACGTTGGCCTTATAGACGTCATTCCCAAACACAAACACATTTGAAAATATGGAATTTAGTCGGTCATACTCATAAAAGATTACCTTTTTATAGTTTGTAGACGAATTCGAAATGATTTGAGTGTTGATCTACCCGCTTGGTTAGTGCTCTTCTGTAAACTTCAATTCAAGCTTGCTAGCTCAGTGCTAAAGGAAGTTTACCGCGTTACACTGTGTGGTAGTTTGATGAAACTGCAACCGCTGCTAGCTCAACTTCTGGTTTAATTCCTTCAAAATTGCTATCCCTCAAGTCAAGAAGGAAGAGTCAAATTCTATACACGAGACGTTTGGTTTATAACATGCCTTCTTGTGACAAATGATCATGCGTGACAATTTGCACATTGTTACTGGTAGCTTGCTATTTAAAATGGAAAATAATACAGTCCATAACAAAACAGCAAGTGGAGCATATCAGTGAATACTGCTTTTGCATAATCTTTTTTCTTCAGGAATCTAAAATAGAATCTTAATACCAAAAGGTAAATATACAAAATCGAGCAGTTTAATTTAATGGTGAGTTTTTGACTTTTTTCCTTGTTTTCTTTAGAGTTTAAGACATATATTATATAAGTTGTTTGGTTCTAAATCATATGCTAAGTTATGCAAAATGCAATGAGTCATACTTTGGAATGATTAGTTCTATGTGTCACAAACGCTAAACTAAAAACTGTCCATGGATTTTCGTGTCAGCAATCAGCTTTCTGAACCTATAAGTTTAACAGAGTAATTCAGACGGGTTCGTTGCATAGATGGCAACTGCAAAAGAAGACGGCGGAACATCTTCTAGAAAGAAACAATGTAAAGCGTTCACGTGGTGTATTTTTATCTGTAGTTTGGCCGCCATACTTTTTATTTTTTACGAATACCACTTCAGTAGAAGTAACGGAAGCAAAGATCTTATAATAACATCAATGGACAAGGATCATCTCAAAGTTGTTAATACTTTCGTGGAAAAGTTTCGAGAGGAAGCGAAAGAGTATTCAAAGGATTCGTCATTATGGAAGAAAATGTCGGCCATGGTGAAAACGGAATCGAATGATCAATACAAACTAGTACTCTTATATACGGGATTTTTCGGTCATTTCCCGTGGGGGTGGTTGAGAGATACGACTGCTCTAAACCAATGGGATGGCATGACGTGCCCTCATTATCATTGCACTTTAACTTATGATAAAAAAGATTTTAAGAAAGCGGATGCTGTTATATTCCATGCACAAGACATGGTGTCACGATCAGAGCTGAATGCGTTACAACTCTCACGAACAGCCAATCAGAGATGGATATTCTTTCCTACCGAAAGTCCTCAAAATGTCCCAGAAAGCCACATGATAAATGGATTATTCAACTGGACGATGTCTTACAGGAGAGATTCAGATATATTCCGTCCGTACGGATACTTCTACCCAAGGAGTAAGAAGAGAACTACAGAAGAAAAAGACGCGTTCTTAGAGTATTTAGAAAGTAAGGATCTTCTTGTTGTATGGCTGTGTAGTCATGCTGGAGCGCTCAGAGATAAATACGTGCGGAGACTTCGAACTTTCATAAAGATATATGTCTATGGTAAAACTGGAGCTCGTGTAGGGGGCATTTCAGGAAAATGCCTGCAAGATTCCCCCGATTGCAAGAAGCATCTCAAAAGGTTTAAATTTCTTCTTGCTTTTGAAAACTCTTTCTGTACAGATTACGTCACGGAGAAGTACTGGTTTTGTCTTGAAATGGGAATAGTACCTGTCGTAATGGGTGGCGCTGAATACGACAAAATTGCGATTCCCGGCTCTTATATCAATGTCAAGGACTTTCCAACCATCAAAGCTTTGGCAGATTACCTTCAGCATTTAGATTTGAACGATAAGGAATATAACAAGTACTTTGAATGGAAGGAAAAGTATAAGGTTGTGATTGACGCGCCTTGGACGTGCCAGCTTTGTGCGAGGTTAAATATTGACCATAAGAAAAAAGTCTACAACGGTCTTGAATATTACTGGGGTGCTGCCCAACAATGTGGAATTAAAGAAGATGTTATCAAGAAGATTATTGCGAAACAACCATGGGGAAAAACGAGTATGTCTAGCTAGTGAGATACTGAACTATATTGATGGGTTGCAAGCATTCCCAAGAGAGTCAAAAGACAAAAGCATGGCGGCATTGTGGTGCCGTTAACAAAGGATGCTAATAATGACTCTTTTGTTAAATGGCACCAACGCTCCCCCGAGATGCCGCGATGACGTAACGTGCAATCGAAGAATAGGTGGGAATATTGTTTACAAACATTGGCATTGTGGTTTTAATGTGCCAACCATTTCAACAATAGGTTTTGTCACTTTGAGAATATTGCTCTCCACTATTGTATAGGAACTTTATCGTAAAGTCCTTCCATGACAGTGTTGGAAAAGACATTTTTCAAGGATATGTGCCTATGGAATGTCATGGATTCACCCTATAGGCCGGCCTTTCCCACACAGCAACCATGTTGACCGGAATAGGTTTTCTCACGCGTAGCCTCGTATTTAAGTGCTTGAAAATAAATAAATGTATGCGGGTTAAACAGAGGTTTTTATCCTCATCTGAATTACACATGGCTTTTACGTGAGACAGGCCAATTGATGATCACTATAACTTGTTTTTCACAGCTATAAACGCGTCATCGAAAGACATGAAGTGAAGTGGTTAGTATTTCCATTTATTGATCCCATTAGTTTTACATTATTAGTAAATTCAATTATTAAATATTGATTATACGTCGGATAATATGGTGGACAACGTTGGAATATATATAAGTATAGAAAGAAAGAAAAATCCTACATCTTTTGCAGTAATCATGGAATATACATTGCGTTTCGTGTGCTGATAGTCCAGAAATAGCAATTTTCATGTACCATCTATCATTGCAAGCTCACCGTTCGTCTCGCTTCGATGCAAAGGCAAGGCTACCTTTCAAGATGACGCTGGGAACTGTGAAGGCGACTATTGGGTACTCCCATTAGCAACCTCTAACAAAACCGGAAGTATTTTTACTGGAAAAAATAAAGTCTCAAAAATCACGAAAAAGATCAGCAAATCAAATCGAATGTTTTGTGTTGTTTGGTATATAACGAAACACTTATTGACTGACACCTCGCTAGCTAAAGCAAAGAGTCCATTTTGTGTGTGGTTATTTCTTCGTATGACATGTCGTCATAGTCTACGGACCCATGGTCGTCTCAGGACCATGAAGTACACTGTTTCTACACTGTTTGGTCTAAGTGTTAACTATTAATTAATAGAAAGATATTTAGAGCGATCCTCATATTTAGAATTCTACGTCACTTGGACTCGTCAGCGACAAATTAACTACCAGCTATACTAGTAAACTATCCCAAATAGGTCAGATGGCATTTTGGGTGATTTCATAACTACAATTCTCCCAGATCTCTTCCAGCATGATTTGACCGAGAGAGACTATTTCAAGACTATTTTGAAATAGACTATAAAGATTTTAAATAATGTAAAATACAAAGTAAAAAATAAAATTCAATCACAGAAACAACTGCGATTATTGAGTTTCCTCCCTTGAAGTTTATAACAGTTTTTTATGAAACAAATTAATTAGCAATTATTGGGCTGCCTGTGTGTATGTGACGTCACAACCGCCATTTTGAGAGAAGACTTATCGCGTTAATGGGTTTTTAGTAAATCAGCCAACTAGGCGACCAATGGCCAATGAATTCATCGATTTGAAATGGTGTAAACATTTAAATGTCATCTAAGTTACCAAATTTTACACTTTTTGGCAGGATTCATTGGAGATCCTACAGGGCAATTGTAGGCTCTGGAAAACTCATGTGAATTGACCATCACTCCTTTGACTCTATAAAATAAAAGGTTTCATTAGTATGGATCACTACCTTGTTGTCGTTAGGGTGCTTGCGTGTCCGGAGAACCCCCCGAGCTATGCCGGCAGTAGCATAGCCTCTTGGTAGGGTCACCAAAGCCGGGCAGATGATGATGATGATGATGATGATGATTTATGATTTATACAGCGCCCTTTCTATATGAATATAATCAAAGGCGCTTTACATTGAGTTGTGAATGACAGATTGCTTTTAAGCAGTTTACAAGCATGAGAGGTTGTTAGTATGAAGTGTAGCACTGAGGGTGGTCACTGCCAGGGTTTCTTTACGTCCTCAGTGGTTCTTTTACGTCAGATCAGAGGAGTAGAGACCAGACTAAGTATTACAGTTTCATCATTTCTCGTTCGTTCGTTCGTGAGTTCCTTCCTTCCTCCCATCCTTCCATCCTTCCTTATCTCATCCTTTCCCTTTTCCTTTTCTATGTGCTAGACGTTACACTAGACTACACACCTCAACGGGTTGATAGGATGTCGCGCGTATGAGATCATCCTCGCAGCAGATCCTTTACTGTAAGAAGCACAAAATATCTGAAAGATTCGGAGAATAATTCAATTATCCTCTACATTTTATACTTTATACAGAACTTAATAAACAAATGGAAGACGATTGCAAATTAGGGACGTACTTCCATTCAATAGAACTTTATTACGCGGCAGCCATGATTATTCCAATGAGAATTAAAGGCTTTTTTCTTCCATTCAAAGTCATCCAGAAACACTTGAATGCGAGGCTAGAAGAGCAAAAATCTAGTGTCCAGCCAACATGGTCGCCGCGTGAGAAAGTAAATGGGGAGGACGTGAATCAGGCCCCTCGAACTCACAATAGTTCGGGCCAAACCTTTTAACATAGGGAACCCATCCCAGAAACTGCCTGAGCCAAACCTTTTAACACAGGGAACCCATCCCAAAACTTACTTGAGCGTAGGAGAGGAAAAACATTTGTTCGTGACTAAGGTTGATTCCTGGTAGCATGGGCTCCTGGCCATGTGCTTTGACCCACAGTTTGTAAGCCTACAGATAGACATTGATAAAAACGATTAAAATCTATGAGAGAAAGAAAGAGAGAAAAAGAGAGAGAGAGGAAGAGAGAGAGAGAGAGAAGGAGGAAAGCATAATATTAGTCACGACGAGGTTGAGGAAAAAACTGGGTCAAGTTGACATTGCGGTGCATTGTGGGGCTGTTCTTGTGGACAAATAACAAGATGGCGTCTACTTCGTCCCTTAAAACATAACCACAATACAATGTATAGAGCATGCGCATGTTACGTCATAACCACCATCTTGAATGGTTGATGATGACAAAGCATTCCTCATTAGCTTCTCTTGTTAGATCAACCAAGATGACGGTTGTTTCATTGTTATTCATATCTCAAGGGATTTCGAGTCACATGGTTACACACTCTGTATAGGGCTAATACCCAATCTCGTCTACTAACCTTGAAGGATATTTCTACACCGCCATTATCAGCTATAACTTCTCCAAGGACGGTTTCTCCATTCAACTAGACGAAATGAAATGAGCACCATACATAAGGCACTTAGGTATTCAAATGAGCGCGCAAAATACGGCCAATTCCCCTGTGCTTACCGTATCTGTACCTAATAGACCACTTCGACGATATGGCAGCCATCTTGGATTGCAAGGTACGATGATATCTCGACGAGTTTCAAAACAACTGTTTATTCCCCTAGAGGTTTGTCACGTTCAATTGGGAAAACATTCTCACACCACCAATAAGGTGCTACTTTTTAATGTTAAGACAAATCGTATCGTGTACGTACGTGGTGCTGTAAGTCAGTACCTTACGTTTCGCAGTCATAAAAATACCAATTTAAATCAACCGCATCTTTTGATTCTACTTTCCTGCTGTCATACTTACATTTGTACCCTCGTACGTAAAGTTGGAGTATTGATCCACGAAACATTTCGCAAGACGTTCGAAATTTTCAATTGACGAGTTGGACCACCATTTTTTAAGATTCCCCTTTTGGTTGTAAGTCCTCCCTAAAAAAATAAAAGGTTGTTAACACCGCTGTCCGCTCATGGGGGAAAAGGTTTCTTTTAATCTAATTCAAAATGTTATTCAAACACTAATTTTATCGAACTCTAAGAAACAACTACGAAGCTGATCTATGAGTCAGGGCATGGCTAACTCACAGATTGAACCCTGAAACAACCTCTGGTTGATCTAAGTCAGGGCATGGCTAACTCACAGAT